CACCAACTATGTCTTTTTTCATACGCTTTGCTTGATTTGCTATACGATACAGAGCAGAGGTGGACATGGGTCCATTTTTACTGACCCAACCCAACCCATCACTTAACTCAACCCATCCCAACCCAACCCGCCTGAAAATGCAACTTTTCAACCCAACCCGACCCAACCCAACCCAAACAGGCAAATTTTTACAAATGATATTTAAAAAGCAGAACTCAAAAATACAACATCATATGTGTAATAATACACACTGGTGAAGTAATTACACTGCAAGTGTAATAAAATAACATGAAAATTAATTAAAAATTAAATGTTACTAATATTTTCCCACAACAACGTCAGAAACATCAAACTTTCCATATTTGGCACCTAACTCAACACAGCTCTGCATCAAATTGAGAAGCCCTTTATTTTCAACAGATTTGAATGAGTGGTAACCATCAACACAGAAAAAGATCTGTCTATGCTTCAACATCATTAATTCTTGAGGAGACGGTTGAATTTTTCGTTTCAAGCATTGCTGGATTTTCAACTGTGACTTTGGCAAGACTACAGCACAATGTTTAATATGTTCTTGCTGATTTTTAGTGCCAAAGTTTTTACCTGATGAATCTTTAAACTGATATACCTTATTGCACTTAATACAAGCACAATAGTAATTTACGGGAATTTCGCTTTCATCATTTTCCTTTTTTTGAAAAACCATGTGAAATTTCTGCCAGATTTCTGATTTTAAATTTGTGGGTGCTTTTAATATATACCACCCTGTTTTTTCTGGAAAGAATAAATATTTAAATACTTAAGTATGTTCAATCAATCAATTAAATTTATCTAATGAATGGGATTTCTAAACTTCAACAGCGCCCAACTAAAATTTGAAAAATAAACCATTTCTAGGTAGAAAAAAGAAAGAAAATGAAACATGAATATCAGGTAAATAAGTAAAATGAGCAATTGAGAAAAAATTCTGATGTCTGTAAAGTGTAACTGTAAAGACTGAAGAGATTTGAAATTATGAAAAATAACAATTAAATCTTTAAAAAAGGAATTAAAACATAAAAAATGTAAAAATGTTAATGTGAAATTTATTAGATTTTTTACTTTCGCAAACTTAGCAAATTTAAATCACACAAACCTCTCAAATGACGCTGAATTTCTTCTGATTCTGCCATACTTGTAAATAAAACTAATTTTCTCGATCGGAAAGAAGTTAACTTTTGCTCAACTCAATAATCACAAAAAGAAAGTGGAAACGATAGACCAAAGATACAATGATATTACAGCGATATAGAATACACCGATTATTAACTAGTTAAAATGTTCGTTTAAGAATAAAAAAAATACAGAAATAAATTATTTATAATAAAATTTGAAAATTTCAACCCAACCCAACCCACACAACTTTAAAAAATTTGGACCCAACCCAACCCAACCCAACCCATGGGTTAACCCAACCCATGTCCACCTCTGATACAGAGATTTCATTTGTTCACCTTTGCTTTTAGAGAGCCACTCTCTGCAGTGATCTGTCCGAGCCAGTGCGATTGACGTCTTGCATAGTTGTTCCTCTCACGGAAAATTTTATGGTCATCGGCAGACTTTGATTTTTGCCATTGCTTGTATGCAGCTTTCTTTTCAGTCATTGCATTTTGTACACTGTCATTCCACCACCAAGGGTCCCCGTTCATGCTGGCGTTTTGTACCAGTTTTTCCACAAACTGTAGTTGCAGCGTTCATCAAAACGGTTTTGTATGTACTCCAATCTGTACTGGCTTGCGATTGGTGGTCTAACTGTGCGGCGACACTCTGTTGAAATTTTTCTCGATGAATATTGCTTTTCAGCTTCCACGTTTTGATTCTCCGAGGTATTTGTTTAGACTTATGTTGTGACAGTTCGACAACCAGGTCTGCCACAAGGAGTCTATGTTGGGCGACACACGATTCGCCAGGTATAACTTTGACATTTTTGAATAGCCTTCGGTGTTGTTGCTTAACAGCGAAGAAATAAATTTGCGTGTATAATATATATATTTATATATAGGATTCAGACTATCAGATATACAGTTATTTAGTAAAGTCACAGCATTTTCAGTGTTGCTTAATTTTCTATTTGATTTTTCAATCTTTTTTACGATGAATAGTCAAAAGTGATTCTGCAATTCGTAGTCTTTGCTTGTTATTATTATAATGTAGAACTTCAATATTGTTGTCAAGTATGTTTCTAGCGGGTTTTGTTTTGTGTTTGTCTTTTAGGTGGTTTTTAATAGCGCTAGATTAAACGTGCGTTTAGTAAGTTTTCTTGATAGTTTGGTTTTAGTGACTCCGACATATTCATATTTTTAGTGTAAACAATCACCGGTTTCGCAAGTAAATGAATATATCAGGTGATTTCTATCTAGTATTGAATCTGGTATTTTAGTACAGTTATTGTTTTTCATTATCACGAATGATGTTTTTTGGTATGCATAGTAGATTCGTATTTTAATTTAATTAAATAGAAAATTAAGTAACGCTGAAAATGCTGTGACTTTTCTAAACAACTGTGTATGTACATATATTGGAAGGAGACCATAATTGATGTAATATTTGATAAAATCTATATTTTTAGCTTCTAACTCACGGGAAAGATGCAACATTCGTTGTTGACTTTCTTGTTTGGGAGTTAAGTTACGTCGGTTCGATTTTATCAAATATATATATATATATATATATATATATATATATATATATATATATATTGTGAGTCGACTTGAATCCACAAGTAACAAGTACGTGAGTTTTGAAAAATTTACGACTTGCTTTCGCAAGTACGGTCGGCCAGTACTAGTACATAAAGTACACCATCTCTCATCACGACCAAAGGTGCGTTTCTGTGAACACTTAACTCGTTTTAGGCTAGACGCGTTTTGTCCCTTATGAGACTCATCAGAAGCCCGAGTTTGAACAAGTTTGAAAAAGCCCGAGTTTGTGGATTCAAGTCGACTCACAAAATTTTTTCTTTTTTATTCGGCAGAGTAACAATACGTCTCTACCGACTGATTGTTTCTGCGGGTTACTTAAAAAACACCTTAGTTTGCGATGTTGTCTACTAAGATAATAATTGCGTTTTAATATAACAATAAAAGTTAACGATAGTGTTTAAACTCGGGCTGACGTTGAGTTCCATAAGGGACAAAAAGCGTCTAGCCTAAAACGAGTTTGGTGTTCACAGAAACGGACCTTTGGTCGTGGTGAGAGACGGTGTACTTTATGTACTCGTACTGGTCGACCGTACTTGCGAGAGCAAGTCGGAAATTTTCACCTATATATATATATATATATATATATATATATGTATATATATATGTATATATATATGTATATGTTGGTAATAGACCATAATTTTTATGGTCTATAATCATTATTGTAGAATTTATAGAATATTGTAAAAATATATATATATATATATATATATATATATATATGTGTGTGTGTGTGTGTGTGTGTGTGTGTGTGTGTGTGTGTGTGTGTGTGTGTGTGTGTGTGTGTGTGTGTAAACAATGGATATAAGACTTATTCTATGGAAAAGATTGTAAAAGGCAAATTGCTACACAACAATAACCTTCCTAGTACCAACAATAAAGATAACGACATCATCTTGTATTACAGAAATCACATGTCAACTGCATACAAGGTAGATGAAGCTATCCTTAAACATATCATCAATAAAAATGTCACACCAACCAACCTAATTAGTAAAGTTAAACTCCGAATTTATTGCAGCAATAAAAATGACGTCTCACCTAATACTGAAAAACAACTGTAGTCCTAGAGATAACTCTGTGTTAAGGCGTAATCACGTAATATATGAATTTAATTGTCCCTTTGACGGCTGTGCACGTCAACATGACTCATATATCGGGATTACTACTACCTCACTGACTAGAAGGCTTACGATGCATAAACAGAGTGGTGCTATCAAATCTCATTTGGACTCAACACACTCAATCACTATTAGCCGTGAAATCCTCGACAGCAACACCAAAGTAATATACCAGAACAGCAACTACACGCATCATAAAATTGCAGAAGCAGTCCTAATTGACATCAATAAACCAAAAATAAATATTCAACAAAAAATGACAACCTCACTTCAAACCCGGCGCTTAACCAACAATGAAAACAAAGAAGTAATAAAAACTAGCATTGTAAATAGTGACAAAGAAGAATATGATGCTATCTATGAAGAAAAGGAGACCAAAGAAGATGACCAGCCAATAAAGAAACCTGACACCTAATTTCCATCTAAGTTCATTTTGACAAAGTCAATAAATCCCTATATAAACATCAAAAAGCACTGATGATGATTCATTCGGAATCGAAATATGGCCTTATTTGCAGCATGAATTCGGAAAATAAGTTTATTTTGAATTTTAGTGAGAAAAATCGAAAAAACGAACTACAAACATATTAACGCCAAACATTCGGTAGAATTTATAGAATATTGTAAAAATTATGTTCTAATATATATATATATATATATATATATATATATATATATATATATATATATTGATGAAATTCACAGCATGTTTCGCGTTAGTTAGCTACTTATTTAATTTGTCTAACGGTTTATCGTAAATCAATCTCATGTTTCTTGAGTTCAAAAACATTATTAATTTTAAGCATGATAGAATTCAATAGGTTTTTTTGGTATTCCTATACCATCTTCGGTTTTCGAATTGATGCGTTGTATTTTTGTAATATTTATATATACATATATGTATGTATGTGTGTATATATATATATATATATATATATATATATGTGTGTGTGTGTGTGTGTGTGTGTGTGTATACGCGATAAAAATTGAAATAAAATTATTGTTCTTGCAAAATTGTTAAATTAAATTATTCACATTTACATTCAGAGCATGGATTTTTTGTTATCTTTTGTCAAAAAATTTTTCACTCTTTCCTCAGTTATAAATTGTGTAACTTTTACTATAACGTTAATTAAAGATGGAAGAAGTGATTTGATAGACAATGCATCAATTTGGCTTAACGGACCCGCCGAAAAATATTTCTCAGAAAGGAACAAAAATTTGAATTATTTAGGCGAATTACCCGTCCTCAAATTTTTCTATGAAGGAAATCAAGTGGGCGTTTTTGAAATGTTATCATCAGTTTAACTTGTTATCTAGCTCATAACAAATTTGTATATTTTTTTAATATTAATTGATTACGCACCATGTTATGTGAAGCATTTCGGTTACAATATTCTGAGAGTTCTTTTAGGAAATTTTAAATTAGTTGGTTTATTGCTAGTTTGAATGTGATTCGTGAGTCGTGGTTCGTCGATGTAACATGGTTGCAGTGGCATTATCGAAATTATAAAATGACACAGTTGATCGGTTTCAAGATTTATTTTCATTATAAAACATAATAACATAAAAATTACTAAACATGAGTGTTGTGTTATTTATAAAGTTTTTCTGATATGTTTTGTCTCTACTTACCTCCTCTCTCTCTCGACTATTAGTACACTGTTCTATCATCTGCACTGCACTCTTTTTTGCTGTGTAAAATGCTGGACTAACTAAACTTACTCAACATCCCTTTACTCTTCTACTAAAACAACTTAAAACAAACAATAATTTAAACAACGCTAATTAAAAATTTCTCAAAAACGACATGATAAAAATTACTAAAAAACATAAAACGAAATAAAAAAAACCGAAAATTATCGTAATGAAAAATAAAATTAAAAGTAATAGAAATTTTCAGTATCGTGTCAAAAACGAATATATTTATTTTCGATATATTTTTAAGAGTCAATGTTCAATTCTGCTGTACTCAATGATTCTGGCTATCTATTCTACAAAATTGGACCGAAAACAGCAATGTTTTTTGAACCTAAACGCAGTTTAGTGGTTTTGACAACCACCAGATTTTATATTATTACACTTTAAATGGATGCCTGCTAAAACATTCGATCTCTTTTTAAGTTTTTCCATAAAATATTTAGGCTCAAGTCCATTCATCACTTTAAACATTAAAATGCATATTTAAAACATTATTCGTTTTTCGACGTTCAACCAATAAAGATCTCTTAAAAGTTTGAATAAACCAGATGCAAAACTACCGGATGTAACGTTGTAAGAACTTAGTAAAAAACTTAAAACATTTTAGACTCTGAGGAATGCATTTCGATGGTCCAGTCTATTCAGAAAAAGACTGTCAAATTGGTAGTCGATGGTTTTAAATATGATCACATCACACCAATTCTACAAAGGTTACACTGTCTCGCGGTGGAAAAAGGAAAAGTTTTAAAAGTATGCGTCATTTTCTACAAGTGTGTAAATGGAATCGCGCGATAAAAATCTTGCTATTAGAAATCAATTAAAAATTGATCTCTTAAATCTAATGAATCTAATTCATTGCCAGCTTCATGTGTCGAGTTGAGGATTGGTTCAGAAGTTGTTTTTATTGTTGGGCCCGATTTTTGGGAATAAATTGACTGTTCTACGTCGTCGGGATTTAACGTTAAATGAGCTTCGTAGAAAACTGAAAACATATGTTTCGGTTATAGGATGGTTTTTATATCGCAAACTAAAGACATCTGTTTCAGTTTCAGGAACATTAATCTCTTGATTTCGTATAATTTTATTTAATATTTTTTTGTTAAGAGCGTTTGTGAGAACATTTTTTAAACGAGCGCATTACAAACAATCTTTATAACAATAATAATATTAATATTATATAATGTTAGTGATCATAATTTTAATTAAACTTTTTCATGGTAGTCTGACGAAGTGGCTGATTCAATACGTGCCTATGCTCAGATAGATGGGAAAGCTCCTTTACTGGCCATCGTTGATATCTCACAACAAAAAGTTTTCACTGATCCTGCTGATGAAATTGATCAACAGATAGTCCAAGATTTAATTGAAAAGTTTAAAAAGTTTGTCTCAGAAGTTGGTAATAACATGGACTGATTAATAAAACCCCAACGATACTTTTATTTAAATTATGCATAATATTGTATGTTTTTCTAATGTGTTTTTCATTGTCTTGTCCATTTTCATACGTGCATAAATAGAGTAGATATATATTTATATATTGATTTGTGTGCGTGTATATATATATATTTATATATATATATATATATATATATATATAATGTGCATATATATGTAATTATTTATATACAATTTAATTACATATTAATTATAAGTTTTTATTTAAAATACATTTGTCTAGTCAAAGTTGTGTAATAAGATTTTGTAATATATATATATATATATATATATATATATATATATATATATATATATATATATATATATATATATACACGCATGTATGATGTATGTATAACTAGTATATTCAGTATATACTAGCTTCAGCTGTACGCATATATGATTTATGTTATGTGTTTAGAAGTTAATGTACCACGCACATAATTGTTGGTGCCAATATTATTGTTGTTAGATTTATAGCGATTTTTTTTTCATTTGCAGTATATTTTTATAAAATTAATTTATGAAAATATTCTTTTTTTACGAATCTGCTTTGTTCAAAATTAGCTGATATAATTGTTTTGACTTGAATAGTTGATTCAATTTTTTAAATTCCTTTATTTATTTTAACTGGTTTTATTTTAAATATTGAAGTAAATCTTCAGTCGTCGCCGTCAAAAGAAAAGTTTCAATCAAGCCACGTCGAAACACTGATGCAGAACCTGACTAGGAGCCATTTACCAATATGATCGATAGCTTGGCTTGATATGATCTGCCATATTAAAATTTTGTTGGATCCGAAATTTTCAAAGTTGGTAGAGAAGGAGGTTAAACAGCCGTATTGTGGACTAGAGACGTCAGGACCTGACGCCAGCAAGGGATCCGAATATGCACCAGCTCTTCGCCAGCCACACCAACCAATGATCACCCCCACAAATCTGACTGAGATCGTAATTCTTAAATGTGCCTACGACCAACTTTCTCTTTGAGACATCCGGGTCCCCACCATAGCGTTTTCCCATAGCAGATTTTCGAAACACGTTATAGAGAACTTTTTTCTTCTACGGCATTTCAGCCTTCACTATGGTGTTTGTCCACAGGATGTGTTTGAATCGATATTTATTGTGGGATAAATAAATTTGGCCTTGTTATTATTTTGTTAGCAGCTTTTTGAACATGTTGACTAAAGGTTAGCTAGCGGTCGATGTGAACTGTGAAGCGGTCGGTTGATTACATCGTTTACAATAATTTCAAATTAATCTAAACAATACGCGGAAACCCGTATGCTTATAAGAATAAAATACAAAAATAAAACAATAAAAACGTTTGGGTTACATTTATTTTAAACAACGCAGCCAATAATTTTACTTACAGCAACTCTCATTACATTTTCTTTCCACTCCCATCAACAATATAAAATTAAATACATTTTCCGCGATTTCGCCTTTCTTTTCTATTGGGGTTTTTGGTTTTTTATTTGTGAGATACTTGTAATAAATTTTGCTTTACGCCATTTTTTTCAACAAAAAAATTTACAAATAGAGTTTCCCAACAAAATGTTCAAAATTGTTAAATATCTGTTTCAGAATCACTTGACGTTAAATTGTGAATCCTATCTTCATCCTCATCATCATCCTCATCATCATTTCCTCTCAGTACTGACAATTTCATGCTTGCTGCGTGAAGGACGGTTTCTGCTTTTACAACAAATTTGCTTACATCTCTGTTTTGCGTCGTTTTTTTGGGTAGATGACAAGTTTGTGGTCCGTTTGCTCCTGCAAATTTTGAAAACTTGCAATTACAATCACAGTTACTATATATATATGATAAATAGTGCGAAGCTTAAAATCTTTTTTATTTTAAAATTTCGCCACTTGTTTACTATTTCAAAAACGCTAATGGTTTTTTCAACAACAAAAAGGCTTATTTAATGTCGATATTATTATTAAAACAAAGTTAGAGTATTGATGATCTTCACAAGCGAATTTTCATAACTGCCGTTTTCACACGCTTACTTCAATAAAAACATCATTTCTAACCATTATCGACCGGTTTGTTGGCAGACGGTAAATGAGGTTTGAAGATGGGAGAAGATCTACCGGACGACGCGGCCGACGAGGATTCACTGAGGTCCAATCCTCCATCGTTTGCCAGGTCGCGTATCGGGTGTTTTGTCTTTAGCTGCATTGTTGCTAAATATGGCATGTTTCTTACAAGGTGGTTACCTGACTGAATTAAAATTTTTTTAATATTGTTGTATCATCAACATTTTCAATCGGAACCGGCAAAAACATTACCAAGTTTTGGCTAATTTTCTTAAACTGAACAATTGCTGAAAAAACTAATAAAATATCTGAATTCTAAATGACAGTAAATTTCAATTAAAATAATAACAGTGTTTTAAACTGGTATCGTATTCTTCTTATTGTTAATTTTGCTAAAAGCGTCTATACAATTGGTGCTAGAAAGGGCCGGTGTATCATTGATGGATTTCAATAGCCTAATGGAGCGTATACATAATAAATACGCTAATTACCCGTTACAGCTCTCGGAGATTCTTCTCATGACGCAAGGCCTATACATTTTATTCCGTATGCATGGTGCAAGGAGCTCTTAGTTCAACGTTCAGATTGAAAAGTATTTTTCATTACTATGTGCAGCATTACTATTCTTCTATTATAATTAGCAAAATCCCTTTACCGCATTTCAATTTTACAGCTAAAAAACTCGGCATTTCAATTTGCCATGCTAACTTTCAAAATATTGACAAACCTTAGATTTTTTAAACATGCCGTCGCCGGGAATGTGGCTTTCATCGTGAACATCTTGTTTGTCTGTGCTGTTGCTTTCTGCTGTACAGGCTGGGTAGATGGAAGACCAGAGAGAATTAACATGCTGAAGTTTTGCGGTGTGGTGAAGGGGAAAATCATAAGCATTTTTTTCTTGCATTGATTTTTGGTATTCTTGACACTCGTGATTATCAGATGAACTGTCATAATGCTGATGGTTTAAGTTGTTATGTTAAAAATTTTAAACTAAGAATTTTAAATATCTGTCACATCGGTATAACAATGATTAATCAAGAATTAGCAATTACTACAGTAAAGAAATGTTATCTGGTGCTACCAGCAATTTAAGTTCAAACAAAAAAAAAATAGTTTTTGTACTAGAGATTAGTAAAAAATCTATTAAAAAATCGATCTTACAAAATGCTTGAATTTCTTGTTCTCACTACCGCTACCTATATAATCATTATTAAGCAAACTACTGGAGACGGTTTTTATTCCAGAGTTCGTAGGAGAGCGAGAACGTCGTTTTAGAGATGCCTTTTCAAGCCAGCCACCTCTTAAATTATTGTCGTTGATGCTAGAACTGTTGCAAGGTACGCCTTCAATCGGATGAGTACTAGCAGGAACTGCCTGGAACAACAACAATTTATAAAGTAAATTAATCTACAACAGCTTTCTACAAAACAGTCATATTTAACAGTCTAACAAAACTTCACAGTAGAATAACTTATATAAAAATAATTTAATCGCGGTAATTCATCAAGAAGTTTATACAGATAACACGGTACACTTATTCAAAAGTCCAAACATGAGGCAAAACGATGTCATCTGGTAATGCAAGAAAAAAAAGCGACAGGAATAAAATAAGCGCTAATAAGTTGTCGTTTGAGGTGCTGTTAGAAGTAACAAAAACAAATTTTATCTTTAATTAACGTAAACAACGTAATTATAACAAATGGGTAAAATTTTAAAAAATGTTTGGGTTTTGAGAAAAAGCACAAATTCGGATCATGCATTTTGAGATTTCTTTCATAATAATATTAACTTATCTGGCTGTTGCAAAAACAAGTCTAATAAAAAGGCACAAGCCAAAAGATTACAACACAAAGAAAAAATAACCACAAACTCCAAGACAACAGTGTCAAGATGTTGATACATGTTTTTCAGAACATTGTAAAGTGGAAGATAGTGAATAAACAGAGGAGCCAATAATGCATACTGTATTATACCGTTAGATCCGGAAGTAAAGGTTGATTAGAAATTGGTGTATAAAGGAAAAGTAATACCTGTTAATAATTTACGATTAATATTAGTTAATAAGCAGAAAAAGTTGAGCTGGATGGTAGTAGAAAAACTTGGGTGGATTGAAGAAAGTGATTCACCGAAATCAGGACGTTAATGACTGAGGATCGATTGATACATATGAGATTAAATTAAGTTTAATTTGCACAAAGTATCTCACAGAAGATGAGTGTGGAAGACGTAACGTGGTAGCCTTCCTCTTGTCTCTTGATATCTGTTGGAAAAATAGGTTGTAAAAAAAATAAATTTTAGAAATAATAAGATTTTTGATAATGGAATGCTTGTGACGGAATGTATGAACCAGCATCACAAACTGTAGCAGGTTACGCAAAGAATTAATGCAAGTGAAAGTGCTTAAATTTTTATATTTAATGATGATGTAATTGAACAGATTTCTTTTTCCCATCGTACATGATGAATTGATTAAAAAATTACCTTTGTTATATAAAACAAAAACAATAAAAAGATAACGATGAAACAAACCATAGTTGAATTCTTCGGCTTGTAATACAAAGTTTTGTACAAATCGAGAGCTGCACATCTCAGGCGACAATCATGAGACAGTCTGCAACTGAATACATTGGATTTCGATTTTAATATTATACTTAAAAAATATTAATAACTTTTACCAATTCTTTGGTTCAATAATTGTCAATTCAGCAAGTTTGCGGCAATTCCAAATCACAAGTTTGAACTTAATTTTTTATCAGTCGAATTTTTGAGCGAATTCAAAAGCACCCCGCACTAAATTTTTATTTAAAATGAGGCTAACAACTCCAATTATCACAATTAGATAGAAAATTGTTTAAACAGGTGAAATGTTCGCACCAATGACAAGTCAAAAACCCGTCAGCGAGATGATAAAATGCACACTTTCCGGTTCAAATACTGTCTGCTGTGCGAAACTCGGGAACTATCATATGTCGTACAACGCGTAGTATTGTGCAGTGAATGCGTGTACAAACAAAAGTCGATGGTGAAGCAAACAGTGAAACCACCTCACACAAAAACTTTTTTTCAAAACACTCATTACGAATATAAACATCCTTCGACGTTCAATTTCGAGACTAGCTTCGTGTCTTTTTTTCTAACAAAAAGCCAACATACTTGCCGTCATGATTTGAAAATTTCAATTGCTAACAACCTGAATTACAAGAAAGTTAAAATGGCTGTTAGGTATTTAAATATAATTGTCTTATTTCATCTATAGTAGGAGGTTCATGCAGGGAGCTGAACTTTCAGCTGACATATTGTTAAACTTTCGATAGGTATTGTAATGCAAAGATCTGTCAGCAATTTTCAATCACATTGTTATTAAATGTCATAATGACTGGAACACAGAACAAAACTTATCATCACCTGGTACTAACAAGAACAAGAGCTGTCAGTCCGTTACTTACTGCCTTCGTAACTTTTAAATAATGGCTCTCCAATTTTTGAAGAGATAAAAGTAAACTAACTTCAAGAGGGTCCATAATTTTTCTCTAACTGACTCCGTGTTAAGTGGACTATCTGTGGAGGTGAAGGGAGGACATTCGATCATCATGCTTATCGTCCTGAATCTAAATAAAATAAGTTATCGTTATAGCTGACCTAACAATTCATTTTTTAAAACTATGAGCAACGTGAGAACCAAACTGCAGTTCGTTCAATGGAAAAATATTAATAAACAATTTACCAAAATATTTAACAAGCAACAATAATAATAATTTCCATTGAAAAACTCAATCGGAACGCACCTTAAATAATGATCTGGATCACTTTCAATCAATTCAATTATCCAATTCAACAATGAGTAGTCAGCTTCATCTGCGTAGTGTAAATTTAAATTAATTTAAAAGTGTTTAAAAAATATTTACATTTTTATTCAAATATATATCTGTAAGTTTGGAAATTGAATCGTCGTGCTTATTTGAGCATGTTTGTGCAGTGTGCACGTTCATTTTGGATCGTTTGGCTTGAGTTTATATGCAACATCCGTGCAAGGTTATGGAGATGAATCGAATGTCAAAATGGGAGTTTTAAATGATCCATTATTTACACCACTTCTTTTATAACTTAAATTTTGTCTAAATATAGCAATATCATAACCATCTCATTTAAACTAATTTTATTTAACAATATAATTTTCCAATTATCTTCATCAACGTATCCAGATGTATCAACTTTTGTTATTTTTAAATTTCAGTTCTGGAAATGCATTTTAAAAAGGAAAATGTTTTGATGGTTGAATATTTTTATTAAAGAGTCTGCGTTCCACATTCGAAAACAAATAAATTTCATAAATGAAGTAAAAATAAATCTAAAATTCACTAACATGTTGTGTAATCGACAAGAGATTCAACAGCAGCCAGACGCACATCTATGAAATTCCCTTCGACGGCGTAGCTTTTAAAAGGACAACTGTCGACAGGCATGTGACCGAATTTCTGCAGCCTTCTCAGAGCTTTCAAACAACTTTCAGTTGCATAGTTAACAAAAATTAAATGACATTTTAAAATAAATAATGTAAAATGTGACAATATTTGAATAAAAAGAGAAAGTATTAATGAATTCACACACCTAACAGTTACGGTCAATTTGTACGAAGGCAACAGCTTTTCCATATTTAGTGCTCTAGTAATTTCTTCCAGTATAAGACGAGTATCATTGGTTAGGAAATCAGTGCTTGGTCCTGATCTGCTCAAGTGCAATTTGAATCATCATTAACATTTCTAATATTCACATAAATAAAAACCAACGGAAAGAAATCAATAATGAATGCATTGTGAATGAAAAAGATTTTAAAATCGTGAATAAATATGGGAACCTACCCCGTCACAGACACGCGAGTAATTGCCGGACTAACTGTGTTCGACAGTGATTCAATGAGACTGGCTCGGTAATAACAATCAGAATACTGGGTTGAAAATAAAATGGAGGCGTCAAGCAAGTTTATTACTTTATTATTTAGTCTATATGTGTAGGAATAATAAAGGAGTCATAAATCAATCAATCAAGCTTCGTTTTGCGTCCAGAGACCCGGTTTCCCGAGGTAGGACGTTGTTTTCTTTGCCATCAACTTTTTGCGCCAAATAAGACGATCAGTTGTATCCATTTCATTTAAATTGTATCCATTTCATTTTTAAATGTATCCATTTCATTTAAATTTAAATAAAGGGGTCATAAAGATTTCAAAAATTAATACAAATTATATAACATTTCAATAAAATATCCGAATACCTATAAAGTTTCATATTGAAAGAACTTCTGAAGTTCTATCAAAATACATTTCAGAAATGCCAAGGTGACAAAAAGTATTCTCTCAAACTGGTTACACAGACAGAATAAAAGTAATTGTTATTGAATGAAATTTCTATAAAATGTAAAGCTATTCAGGTCAAAACGGATAAAAAACTAAGTGTTACAGAAGTTTGAGCAGATCGTTGAATATAAAAATTATATTTTCAGCCTCGCAAGCGCAGCAACAACAAAAAGAGAATTACTTTATTCCTTGAATTGTTGTTGTACTTGAGCAGATCCAGCAGAAACTGAAGAACTTCAGAAGGGCATACATTGTGCACGTTTCGTAGCTGTGACATGGCTGAAGGTATCGTCTGTAATGTCATACATTTAATTATTCAACAGACATTCATAAATTCAACGCAAAGAAACAAATGCCTCAAGTTTAAAACTTCAACTAAAAAGTAACTCATGGTAAATATATTAAAGAGCTTTGCCGTAAATTTTTCATGAATAAACTTGATGAAAAAAGGTATAAAGGTACAAAAGCTTTCTCGTATGAGGCTTTGACTGGAAAGTTAGTTAAAGCCAAAGAATAAAATTGAAAAATACATAAACAACAAAAAATAAATAAAAAAAAGCAATGCAAACCTTTTGCAAAAAATAGTTCTGGAAATTATTGAAATTGTTTCTCCTGACAATGTTTGGACAGGAAGGAGCACCGAACATCTGTCTGAAGATGCTGAGCATGGCAGGCGGTCCAATCCAAGATGTGTTGTTCATTTCATTGGCCACCTGGTGTATAGAAAGTGTGTAAAGATGCCCACCACATTTCAAACAATTCTTCGATCATTTAACGTCAAGATCTACCAACAACTGAAAGACCATTAAAAATTTAGCTACAGTAAAATAACAGATAATATCAGAATTGTATGAAAGATTTCAATTCTGCATATGCTGCCTTTATAAAAAATAATTCAGCAAATTAAACTCTGGCATTCCAATAGGAAATAATATGGCTTAGATATAGGATGAAGAAAATCATAACAGCTGAACGAAAATGTTTAAAAACAATGTACCAACCTTAACAAGACAGTACGCAGCATCCTGCTTGACTCGATAGAAAAATTTTTCATTTTCAATGGCATATGTGAGAACATTTCTAGTCTTGCTTGTCGGGTATTCTTCTAACGCTGTGATTGCCTGAAATGTGAATTTATAATTAAAAAAATCTATTTAGTTAATGAGCAATTTTAAAAGTAAAATATAAAATATCATATTTGAGATGATGCAAGAGGCCTGTTCAAATATTTAAACTTACTAAATCAACGTTTAAAACATTTTTACGTAGCGTAATAAAATTTTATAGGCAATAAATTTATTTTCCCATATAGGTTCAATCATAAGAGTTTGTTACAAGTTTGTTAAAAAGCTATGAAATAATTATAATGTTTGAAACTCTGTAACGGATGGTCAATACTTGCAAAGCAGACATACATTGTGTTGGGCAACGACGCACTTCTCATGTCTTAACATGTAGTGCCACATAAAGTCGGGCTGTTCAAACCTGATGATTCGCAGAAGCAGCATGTCAGGATCGACACGCACCCACAAGACTGGAGAATCAACACTGTTGAAATTTATTGTAGAAATATTTTGAAACCTCTGTAATTACATCAACAATATGCTAACAATCATCGTGCTCCACTAAGGTTAATAAAAAATTACCAAAAAATAATGAAATTGAAAAAAGATTGACTAAAATTATTTGAGTATGAATGAATGTTAAGCGAAGTGACGAACTCAGTGTCATCGAGATTCATCTCCACTTCTTCGCCAGTGCACAGCGGTATCTTCTTCTTCTTCTGCCTGTCAAATGTCAAACAGAAACTATTTCTTAAACATTTGAAAAATTTTCTCGACCGATTGCCATTCAAAAAATTTTTAATAGTTGTAGCTTGCAAGCAAACATAAGCAATCAACAATTTTGCTAGTAGTCAGGAAAAATTAATCAACGATGATAAGACTATCAATGAAATACCAATGAATTATCTCGTACAAAAAAAAAGAATAAAAAGTTTAACCTTCTACTTTTCGAATGACAGGGAATCTCAAACTTCGATTTGTTTTCCTCCACCATGAACTGATGGTTGAATGTACCGTCCAACTCTTGGATTGAAACAGTTATCGGACCCTGCACAAATCAGTAACATATTCAGGACGCCAATCATATATAAAAAAGTTTTTCAAATAGTAAGAATAACAAACAGCATATTTGAGCAGATTCTTGGATGCGGAGAAGTCTTGCTTCAATTCGAGTTCGACGACATTTCGCTTCCTATTGAATGTAAAGTTGCCCAGAAATTGAACTGAACCTCCTTGGAATCTAATTAATTTTTAAAATTATTTCGATTAAAATTAATTATAATAATTGAGAAGTAACAAAAACAGTTCAGCGTAAGTGTTATTATGTGAAAAAGAAGTAGGTAGATTTGTAAGCATTTTATAACTGCTGAAAATGAAAAATGAATGAAAACAAATAAAAACTAAATAATAAAGCAAACAATAAAGGAAAAATAAATAAACAAGAGGAATTCTAAAAACTGCGATAAATGTACGCAGCTGCCCTAAATATATAAATAATATTATTTGGTCCCGCTGTCTTTGAACTACCATTTGAGTGTTCTTATAATAAATATGTGAGTGTATGGAATTTATATCTATAGCGCTTCATTGTGTCGTGGAATCCTTCTTTTCAAATTTCTTGAAAATTAAATTTCCAATCAATAATGAATGTACCATTTCTGTTAAACTGCCAAGATGATGCAAATGAAAATTAAAAAAACCACATCGCACATGTAAACTTGTTTGCACCAATTTACATGGTGGGTGGTGGTAGCAAATGTGTATGAAGACTGAAAAATGACGAAAAAATATAGTGCAATATAATAACAACAATGTCAACCAATCACAAATGTTAGAAACATTCACAGGTTACCATGCAGAGCGGAATATTACTTTAAAAATTACTTACACCCACTGGTTGAGGAATGCTTGCACGTCCTTTCCTGTTACCGTTGAAATTGACTTAAGAAACTGAAAAATATTATTTTATCTTTATCAGTTCGTCATGATATCTCAAAATAAATATGGCCTTTATTCAGAGGGAAAAATTATCATATGATGCGACATAAAAAAAGAAGTGTATAGTATAAGAAGGCTTGACATAGCCGGTGCAAGGAAAGCAAAGTTGAATGGCTTTAGATCGAGTAACATAAAGGTTAAAAACCGACCATTCAAAGTTGAATTCAATAATGAGAAAAGTGAAGTTTTCATTATTACAAATGAAATATCAAAATATGGATGAAAATTACTAACGGAATTTGTAGAAACAACCATGTTGTTCCAGATGTTGAGACTGTATTTCTGCTGAGATGCTGAGGTGGCTAATGCAAGTATTTTATTCATGACCTGTGAAGGAGAAGAAATAAAGAAGAATGTTTGAAAGAATGATCAACAGTCACTCCAGAAAATTAAAAAAAATTTCAAACAACATAACGAACAAGTCAGAAAAGAGCTTGAAGTTCTTTGATTGGACGAATAAAAGCAATTTTAGCAAAACAGAAACAGGTCAGTCCAAAATTTACAAGTCACAAATAAAATTAATTGAAATATTGAAGAAATTTGAAAATCATTTTTTTTATTCCGTTTCTATCAATCGTCTAACTGTCATGCAACAATCATGCAACGATCATACAACAATCATGCAACAATCATGCAACAATCATGCAACGATCATGTCATAATCCTATGCAATAAACATGTAACTATGCAACAAACGCGTAACATTTACATCGTAACAAACATGCACCAGTTATGTAACCAATAATGAATGCTGCTGTTCAGAAAATATTTAAATAAACTGCATATTCTGTTATTGTATTGTCAAAAACTAGACACTTGTAATAATGACGTGACAATCATGTGCATGGAGACTCAATACAATGGAATGCAGTGTTCAACACCGCTATATAATCAACAATTTTTGCTTAAAATTCGTTGAAGTAATAACTAACCTGCAACATAAGTTCTCTGCCAACATACTTTTCCAGCATCCTCATGACGAGGCGAGACTTCATCTCATAAATTCTTAAATAAGCAGGCGAAATGGTTTGTGGCTGTTTACTTGATTCCCACAAATCTGCCACCAGCATACTGGGATCCAACACAACTGGACTCTGCTGGCATTCAAATTGGCATACTTCCGTCATGTCCTGATGTTATGAACATTTGGGAAAAACGTTTCACGAAAGAAATTGTTTGTTGTAATTAATGAAGTTATTGATGTTAAATTTGCAATTACAGCAGAAAATTTTGATAAAAAAGATAAATCAAATATATTTACAAAACAGGAGGGAACACAAATTCAGACAAAACTAAGAAAAACTTAGAAACAATCTACTAAAAATAATGTACCTTAACTACAGAATAAATATACTCGTTGTTCCCAAAAACTTTAACATTGTAAAGTCCTGCGAGCAACGAGGCAAGTCCCTTCGTTAGCCATGCATCACACCTGAACAAAGTTAGCACAATTATTATAGAACATATAACTGTTTTAAAATATTTATTCGAAGCTGTCAAAATGAGAAAATAGTGTAACTATATACTGATGAACTGAAATAGTTTTGAAGCACACATGTAAAATAAAAAAACGGTAGCCCCGAATTATTTTGATAATCTCTCTCTTCTCTCTCTCTTGCTCTCTCTTTCACTCTCTCTGTTTGGTCCACAAAATGAGGAATGAGATACATTAACTGCTGTTCTCTTGCATAAAGAAAAACTAAACTCAACATGAATCACTAACAATCTTTATATGTTCCCGCCCGACTCATCTTTAAAATTTTTTTTCTTTCCGACCTCTTTATTCAATATATATTTCTGTATTGCAACGTCATCATCTACTAGTTGCCATCAGGATTTCTTTTCACTCATTATTTTTTTTAGCCCACCAACTACCTCCATTTGTCTTCTTTACCTCAATTTCAAAAATAAGTCTCAATTTTGGATAATTTTGTCCAAATGTCCAATCGGAGTCACGAGCACCGGCAGCATATATTGTCATATATTGTCAGGCAGACTTAGGACAAACCTCATTTGAGCAAAGCCTTCTTTAACATGTTAATATTCATATAATACTGAAAAATTTTTTCTTTTCTTTCAAACCAAGTGTCGTAGACATACACGTTCCACGCAATTTCAAAATCTAATATTCTGTGCTCCCTCTCCCAACACCCAATTCTAATTATGCATTATTTAACATCGGCCTCTTTCTTCCATCGTCATCCAAGTCTATTTCCATTTTCCATCAAATCCATTTTATGAATTAATAAAACAGGGACCAAGAACAAAAAATTAATGAGTAAAGCAGTAGTTTCCTCCAACAGCAAAGCAAGCATGTAATTTAAATAACATTGGAATATCCTAAAGATGCGTCTTCAAAAGTTAAAAATTAATTATGCGTAACAAAAAAAACCAGCAACAACTTGAATGAAAAAAATTGTAAATCAATATAACAAACCAGGTGTGCATAGATATGAAACAGCCAAAAAACTGCTTGGCTACAGCCTCTGCCAGCAAACGTTGGGAGATTGGAGTTTGATCGATGATGCGTTTTGAGTGCAGCAGGTTCGTGCTGTTGTTGAGGCAGTTTAATAATTAAGTTAATGGGAACATAATTTTTTTCACAAAATACATCAGTCCTATGTAATTCTTCACTGGGTTCCTTCAAAAGTACATCACCCAAGCAAACTCATGTTGGACACTTATTATTATTATGTGTGCAGTTTATTCAGCGGCTCCTCAAGCCATTATGAACTCTTATTAGGCTAGCATGAAAGTTTTCAAATATGTCAACAGCAAATAACAGGAAGTAAGATTAATAGTGAGAAAGACAATAATTTTGCATACGCAACTCAGTAAAATAATTCTAAATTTTATTTTATAAAATTATCAAACACACGACAGCTAATGAACTCAAGTCAACTAAAAATTTTTAAGAAGAAAACCGTAAGTACTGAAAAAATTTTTTTTAGCTACGCAACTACTTCTAAATATTCAGAACTTCAAAGAGTTGAATCAAATAAATTTATTTGTAATATTAAAAATAATATTTTACTTTAAATCTAACTGAACATTTTTCATCTATCTCCATCAATATCCAGTGCCCATTCAATCATCACATAATAAAATATTGGAATAAAGAAAGAAGTAACCTGCATATAGCCATGGTAGCATATGGTGACACGTCATCGTACGCCATGTCAATGAACACTTGTTTGTAGCAGGTATATGGATATCGAGTTGACAGTAACTCTTCGTAAAATTCAAAGACCTGTCAAATAGAAAAACTTCTAAATATAGAAAAGTTTATAAATTTCATTTCACCACTTACTTACCTGGTGACGACCGATGAGGAACAATTTGCAAAATAAATTAAAAAAATATACTTCTAAGATATGTTACAAAATTTAAGAAAAGAATGGACAGAAATGGACGAAGAACCTCGTGCAGGAAAGATGTGGTGTGTTTTAGGATGGGCAGCAGGTGGGGTAGGCAGAAATTTGTCACTTCGTGCATGTTAGGATCAACCCAGACTTCAAATGGACTGGAAAAAAACATTTTTCGAAAATTGAAATAAAATTTTTTAAATAAAATATAAATAATTGATAATTTTTACATTTTTCAAAAATTTAAATTCCTTAAACTGACCCAATGGACAGTGCAATGTTTGGAGCGGCCGTTGGAGTAGCAAGATAATAGTGGTATGTTTTTTTCTTCAGATCAGGAGTGTACACGGTGTCAACGAGTTCTCCACAGCTGACTGCTATCATGTACATGCTCACAGTAAACTCTAGCTTCCACGTACAAACTTCTGAATAGGAGTCAATGCATGGAAACCACAGTCTGCAAAATTAATCAAGAATAATTGGCTTTAAATTCAAGGAATATGTGTGTCTATGGGTATCTATTTATGTATATATAATTGCTTTATTTGTTTATATTGGAGAAAACCATCAACTGCTGGATTGACTCCTTTTTCACACTAAAAATTATTAAAAATTATTATATTATTATAAAAATTCTATTATTTCTGCCTACCCCACCTGCTGCCCATCCTAAAAAACTAAAAAATTATTTTTTTTGTTGTGAAATAAAATGGATGAAAAAAATACATCGGTTACTTCCAAAATAAAAAAATACCTAGAAGAATTTTCAAGTCCAAATGAGAAAAGATGAGCACCTCTGTCCAACAACGTGCCATCAAGATCGGGCACTACAAACTTTATCCCACCATCAGGTTTCACCAAAGAAAATTCTATTATCACCCTGAATGGCTTCAATTCTGTAAGGGTAACGTTCATTCACAAATTATAGATGAATTCCAACAAATTTTTTAAAACTTGAATATCTGCCGCAATGAAACCCTGTTGAAATGGTTTTATTTATTGTATGTAATTTTTAAAAACTGATACAAACTCCAAACAAAATAAATTGAAATAAATAATAACACACAAACAGAGAGGCTTTTAAGAAATAAAAAAAAATTGAAATAAATGTAAGCTAATCAAAATTTATTTGATAGAGCAATGTTGAAAATGTATTTTATTTATGCCATAATAATAACAACAACAAAAAAAATATGACCCTGATAGCGTTGTAGATGATTTATTATAGTTATAAATTAATCAAATAAGAAGAAAGGCCAACAAACACCAACCGAGAATTGAGTTGTTCAACTCAGGTGGAAGCTTGATGCATATTTCCCCGCCACCACCCTCATCTGCATCGACATAGGATACCGCCTTAGAGTGACAGGACTCAAAAGATTCAAGGTTCTGACTGGAATTAAAATTGATTGCATATTTCAAACAAACACAATGCATCATTGAGATTTCTTACAGAAGAACGAATATGATAGACCATTGACACTTGCTACATATTTGAATCAAATATAATATAAATGACGGTAACGTGGTCACGGACAAACCTGTTTGGTTGATTTTGACAGATATTGATTGTGGGGTCGTCGTACGTGTAGGTTGGTTCAAACTCATCATTGATTGACAACCTGTGAATTACTGAATGTCGTGCGTGAAAGTTATGAGGACGGAATCATTATGGCATTCGATGATTCTATTTGCGATTTAATGCAGTAGTTCTGAAGCGTAAAATTCAAAAATATAAATGCTTCATGCAGTTTATATGTAATGTTGATATAAATAAAATTGTGCAAATTAGAAGAAAACATGATTAACCAGCTTTAAAATACATAAAAAAAAACATACCGGCATCACATCCATTCTATTTCCAAAGTAAAGCACTCTTAAAATAACTTAGTACTCATTAACAACGGTTGATGGCATTTAGATAAGGAAAGTTCAATTCAAACTTTCAATAATAATAAAAAAAATTTATGATTTTGACATTGCACACTGAACCATAATTGAATAATTTATATTCTCGACAGCACCAAAACATTATGAACAAGTGAACGAGTGACTAACGACATTGCTGGCAGTTGATGTAGACTTGCTTGAGGTCAGTAGTGAGAGGGTGGAAGAGCATGTCAACGTAGCCCTGCAAAGTTGATTGGTGGCTTCATTCAATCAATTGGTGATATTTATTAATTTTACAAATTATATTACGCCACGAAAATCTCAAATAAATTTTGCAAATGCAAATAATGAAATAAAATAAGGTCAACTCACCACAATGGATTCCAACTCAAAATTGAAGCCAGTTAAGCATAGTACTTGGTGGGCTGTGAAAGTTAAAATTAGTGCACCACATACGTGAAAACATACATACAAAAAAATATTATATCTGAAAAATAAAGTAGGTCCTTGTTTATGTTTAACAAAACCGATGCTTGATAATTGCATATTTTCGTTTGATTCTCATTCAAAACTGGCAATCAATCATTGACATTTTAGCATGTGTATTAATTAGTGTTGTAACTTTAAAGTTTTTTCCAAAAACATTTTGCAAAAGTAAAACCATAAAAGAAACTTTTGTTTTTATTCCGTGTTTCATAAAAAAAATTTTAATTTATAGAAAAAAACTTTCTGATTTTAAATGCAAGTAGCAAAACAAACTAAATCTGTCTGATTACTCATTCAAAACATCTTGAAATTTGAAAAGAGTTGATTAGAGTACTGATGGAATTCCTATATGAAAATAAAACAAAGAGTCATGTTGGAATGACATCTTTTAATTCTACAAAAAAATTTTAATTGTTGTTTTAATAATCCGACACACCCATGCTAAATTATAAAAAGATTCAAATTTAATTTGATGTCCTAGCCACTTTTGATTTATTGATATTCATTGTGAAATAGAACAATACAGTTTGATCAAACAAGAACAGCGCAAAGTGAAATCAAAAAATAAAAATGAAGCGTGAGTGATTTGAACAAAATAATTTTTCAAAAAATTTTTATTTTTAAAATTATTTTTAAAATAATTTTTTTTCAATAGAATGTTTAAATAATTTTTTGAAAGTTTTGAGTTGAAATTATCATTTAAACTTATAATAATTAATCTTTATATTAATTTTGTAAAAATGTACTGCATAAATATAAAACAACCAATGAAAAATGAATCATAATAAAACTTAACAATTTTATTCTAAATGTTAAGCTTTGTGTTTAAAGGCTCGACACAGTTACATTTGTTTCATTAAATTGCAAATTACACACAAAACAAATTTCAGCCATCTCAATGTCGAATTCGTCATACAATTCTCACGCTTTTTACGGTCTAAACGTCAAATTGGCCAGTGTGTCATAGTTGGATAAAAATTTCTCACACCCAACTCTGGGTTTCAAATTCCAGAAGATTTTTTTTTAAATTTTTAATTTTTATAGATAGCGTCACAGCAAAGTTTTCGCCGTGTGATTTGTATGCCTTTTATACTTTTTATAGCCTCTTAACACCATATTTGGCCTGCGAGTCTATCACCCAGTCTTCATAGTATTACAACATCTGATTCACCGTGCGGGTTTCGGGTTTCTGACGCCTTATAGTATCTCAACGACGTATTCGCCGTCCAATTTTCACATAGCTCTGATCATAAGACTGAGTTAAAGACTAAGACATAAAAAATAAAATGAGAAAAGCACTAACATAGTCTATAAGGTCTGCCATTTTCAAACTTCCAATGTTCTTTTCGCATGACGAAAATTAGCGTATTTCGAAAAAAATGTTAATAATATTAAAAAAACAATAAGAGATATTCGTGAAAATAGTTAACACAAAAAATAACTTATCCAGACAAATTGGTGAAAAATGTTTATTGACTTTCTAAAAGGAAACTTAAGTCTTGTTGAAATAAATACGGAAACATGGAGCTGAAAACTGATCATATATGTAGAGATTATAACCGATCCATTACCATGAAATATTTTTATTCTATGCATATACAGATTTTTTTTATTATTATTCTTTAAAAAGTCAAAATCAGACAGACACAGGCAGAAACTGTTACAGCATGAAAGGCACTAGCATAATCAATCAATCAATAAATCAATTAGCTTATAAAGCACTATTTCCGCGATGTTCAACAGCGTTCCTCAATGAATTTTAAAAACAGATGGGTCTTGAAATTTGCTCTGAACTTCGCAAGTGATAGAGTAGTCAAAGAAATAGGTAGAGAGTTCCAGAGAAAAGGACCAAAAAAAGCAAAAGCAGATTTGGCAAAAAAGTGTTTAACACGAGTTAAGAAAAAGCGAAAAGAAGAAGACGATCGTAAACCGGGGCGTTTAGGTTCAATTAATATATCCGATAAATACTTAGGAAATAGTTTAGATTGAGACTTATACATGAACGTGCAAATTTTAAAAATTATTCTATATTTTATAGGTAGCCAGTGCAAGAGAACAAGATATGGAGATATATGAGAAAAGATAGGGGCACGAGCAACTAGACGAGCAGCAGAGTTAAAAGCTTTACTTAAAGGATAGAGTATAGAGTCAGGAAGACCATAGTAGAGGAAGTTACAATAGTCAATCCTAGATAAGACTAACAAAGTAACAAGAAGGAGAAGAGTAGGATCATCAAGAAAATGCAAAAGTTTTTTTATTCTACGTAGATGAAAGTAAGAGCTTCTAGCAACACTATTAATCTGAGAAGAGAGAGACATAGTAGAATTAAAGATAAAACCTAGACTACAAAACTTATGAGAGACATCAAAAGTTTTAGAATCAGGTAAAATAATAGGAGGAATAGTAATAGAGTGTTTAGATTTATTAAAACAAATTAATTCAAACTTAGAAGGATTAAGTTTAAGACATATAGAGTCAGACCAAGCGATAATTGAAGAAAGACATAGAGATAAATTATGAAGAACACTATTGAGATTAGATGGAGGAAAAGAAGTATAAATGTAAGAATCATCAGCATATAGTTGACTAGAGAAAGAAAAGTTATTAATAATACGAGGTAGTTAAGAATTATAGAGTATAAATAGAAGAGGGCCAAGGATAGAACCCTGAGGTACCCCGAAAGTAAGAGTAGAGGAGTTAGAAATAGAATTATTGAGAACAACAGAAGAAAAACGATTACAGAAATAAGAAGAAAACTAAGATAGACAAAAATCAGTAATATTAAAAGAAAGATGCAGCAGTCTCAAGAGAATAGTATGGTCAACAGTATCAAAAGCCGAGGAAAAGTCAAAAGCAAGAAGAAGAGTAAGATTACTATTGTCACTAGAGAGAAGGATATCATTGTGTATTTTGAGTAAAGAAGTTTCAGTACTGTGAGCAGGTCTGAAACCAGATTGAAATACAGGTAGCAAGGAGTTAAAGTTTAAATAGGATGACAGTTAATTAAAAACTACTTTTTCTATTATTTTAGAGATGAAAGTAATATTAGTTAAAGGTCTATAATTAGATAAAGAGGTAGGATCTAAGGATGAGTTTTTAAGAATAGAAATAACAATAGAATTCTTATACAACAACAACAACACACGTTTAGACGGCATTTTCCCTGAGATCGGGGGTTGCCGTTTGGCTACCTATGATGAAACCGAAATACCCCTCGACGCCATCCACATCTGTCACTCGCCTCAGTATCACGCAACCCCGCTTTCACCCTGTCCTTCTCCACCTGCTCTCTCCATCCCAATCGCGGACGACCCCTTCCTACCACTCCTTCAACCTCGAACTCCAACGCTCGCCTAATCCCGACCCTTTCATCCCTTTTCAACACATGTCCATACCACCGCAATCTCGATCTCCTTATCAATGTCACAATGTCCTCATTCAGTCCCATCAT